TGATTTGGACTTTGAACCATGTTATTCACTTTAATAAATACAGCAACTGCCTCTAACTCTTTTAAAAGTAACAGCCTTGAACCCTTGCTGGAATTAAACTTTCACCAGCATTGACTCAGTTTAGCCTCACAACCACATAACAAGGCACCTTTTGATTATCCCGTTTTTACAGATGAAGAAACAGGAGGCACACACGGAGAGGTGACTTGCTTAGAGTCACAGAGCTGGAAAAAGGCAGAACTGGGGTTTAAATCTAGGAATTCTGACCCTAGAGTTCCCATTTCTAAGCATAATGAACTTTTACCTCCTTTCCACCCACTGCCGCCCCCAGATGGTAGCATGATGCATGCAGGACGTGGTACCCTCCATCTCCCAGGCAGCTCTCCTGGGTCAGGCAGTCAGGTTAGGCATGGGAAGCCAGGTTCAGTGGTTGTTCTTGCTGCACCTGGACATAAGCCCCTGAGCCCTGGGCTCACACAGCATCCCTGAATCCTGGCTCACCTCCTACTCTGACCCTGCTCACTCCGGGTCCCAGCTCAGTACTCTGTTTAGTTCCACAGGCCCTTCCCTGAGGATCAGAGCCCTCCATGTGACAACAGGACCAGAGCCTGAGCGCACAACACTCTGTCCCCATGCGTTAGGCTCTGCCTGTTCTTCATCTCATGTCCCCAGGAATGCCAGAACTTTCTGGTATGACCCTCTCCACTGAGGAAGCAGGCCCTGCCCCCAGCACCCCCTACCCCCTGCCCAGCCCAGTTCCTCTGCCCCTAGCTGACTTTTGGTTCTTCCAGGAAGGTCACCTTGCTTCTTTTACCTACCAAGGCCCATGTGATAGCTGTCCACATATTTACAGACCCATCCAGAAAACCTGAACCAGAGTATTACCCAAACTGTTTTGTAAGACTTAAGGCATCAAATTTTCAATGCATCAGAAATGCCCTCATTGATCTCATGGAGAAGAGACTATTTGTGACTTCGAGAAAAATATTTGCTTTGCTTGCCAGAGTTGGCCATTATGATTATGTTTTCCCCCAAAGGCTAAACAAGAGGGAAGTCTCCCCGCAAAACCATCTTAAAAGGAAGAATAATTTACCATCATTCACAGGTATTTAAGTACCGATTGCTTAATATATCACATGTGGGCTCAAGATTGAAGGATGAATTGAATATCTCAGAGGGAACAGGAGGAATGGTGGGAAGATGGGGAGTTCAGCCCTGACTAGGGGCCCCAGTTCCGGAACGGGGAAGGGTACTGAGGGGTGGCCAGGAGAGGGGTCTCAAGTCTCAGCAAAGCTCATTTGCACAAGCGATGAGGAAATAGGCCACCAGGGCTGAAGAGACAGTGTTGTTTCTTTGTCGTTACGTTGGTGCAGGTTTTCAGGGTGGGTCTGTACAGGAAAGCAGGAAAGAAGCCATAGCCCTAGTTCTTCTCTTTAGGAAGACACTGAACTACACCGAACCCTCCTTCCGAGAAGACTACGCTGTGTTGTTCACCTGTGTCCTTTTTTCACAGGGCAGTTCCTGTAGTTATCCCAGATCCTGGGGGCTTGCTGATATTATCAGAGCTTGCAATTTAGGGACAGGCTGGCAATGTGTAATTGTCACCTAAGCCTGATAGTTGCTTTGGGCACAAACCAGCCTCCCCTGGTATTTAGAAATCCATAATCCAGTTAGCCATGCCTGTGACAAAACAGGACTGCTCTGCACCAGAATGTGGCCTCCACACCAAGTTCCATCACCCGCTGTGCCAGTTCAGTCCTCCCCGCATTCACAAGCCAAAGGGACACGCCTTGGTGAGGCAGACTTGGTGGTGAATAATGATGATACATTTGTGGTGATTACAATTCCATAGGGTGTCATTATAACTTTATAACAATCTTGTACAGTGAAACTGTGTAGGTCCACCTTGATGGCATCAAACTTTTTCTTTTAATTTTCATAGCTCAGAATTTTCTTTATAGCCCAAGGAGAAATTGGTTTGGTTGGGCATAGGGATTCCTTTATTTGTTTCTTTTTCATTTTTGGTTTTTTCTTGTTATTGGTTTTACAGACCTTCTGGCATTAGTGTGCTTATCTGAAAAACAGGAAACCTAATCATTCCTCTGTAAGTCTCAGAGTGTCACAAGGATTAACATAATACAAGGATAAGCACTTTAATAAGCATTATTATGTAAAAATCCCTTGCAGATGTGAGCATGTGCTTTGCTGAAGCAGCAGACTCTCCTAAGGCCTGCAGAACATAAACCACAATCCCTGGAATCCTATGGGTCTGTAACCCACACACTGTAGAATTATAGAGCAAGGCCCTCAGAACCAGAGAGGAACTACCAGATATTAACACGGATGGAGATCCTACAGTGGGTGAAGTGATACCTTTCTCTGTCCAGTCTCTCTGAAGAGGTTAGTGAGTTTGTCCCCTAAGGGGAAAAACAGCTGATTGATTTTTCTTCTGTTCAGAGATCCCAGTATGTGGACACCAGGGGTTTCTGAAGTTCCAAGTTCTGAAAGCTTCTCCCCATGGAACTGTCCTTTCACATTGGAAACAATGAGTCCCCTGCCACAGAAGGACTGGGGATTCCTCTCACTTCCATCTGCAAAATATGTAGAACACATCAAGGTTATTTGAAGGCTTGTTTTCTGTCCTGCTTTTATTTTAGTTAGTGAGCATCACTTAAACTCCCGAACTCAACCTCTAATATGTATGTGACTGTTTTGATTGCACACACAGCACAATAATCTCTACATGAACAGATTTTTCAAAAACTTACACTGTTCATTATTAAATGGCAGCTAATTTAGTTCAGTGGGTTTGATTTTGTTACTATGGCCCTGGAACCACACTCATGTGTTATTTCTGTACAAAATCTTATAAGTTCCAAGTCTCTTTAAAGGAAAAACTCTTTAAACAGGAATATTTATATTCATCATCTCTTTATTCTGTTCAGAGACTAACAAGCCTGCAGTGGATTATACAGAAGGGAGCTGGTTCCCCCAATTAAATGGGTTTCTTTAACATTTTAGGAACCCAGCCTAAACCAAAACATCAATAAAGTTGGTTTATTATCCATGAAGTTCTCAAAGTGAGAATGCTATTTCCTTGGCTGCCATCTAGTGGTCAACAGGTGTATTGTCACTAAGACACAGCATCTTAGGTGAAGACTCAGAAGATACATGTCTGTCTTTAAAACTCATGCCAATAACATAGTTAATTAACTAATATTAGTTATATATATATATATATATATATA